AAACAGTGAAGCCTCTTTGTATCCTGACAAAACAGATGTGGTAATCAGAGTGAAGATTAAGTCATCATGTTCGGTTATTTTTAATGTGTTTAAAACTGCAGAGGGGGAGGGGTCAGAAAAAGTGATTGACAGCTCGCCAAAATAGCCAGATTAATTTAAAAACAAAACTGTTTAATGAATGATTATGAGAACATTTAAGTAAAGCGGTTAAAAAAATAATATTAACAGTGTTTGCACAAGTCAAAGTCAACATCAGCTTAACCCAAAATGAAAGATCTTAAGGGAGCTTTAAACTATTTTATCATTTAATTAATCTCTTTTATTAAACAGTAAAGTCGCTTTTCTGCCCTCGACCTTAAAATTCAAAGTCCAATTTTTTTTACTTTTATCTTAAAGCTCCTCTAAAGGACTATTGTTTTTATTAACTCTGAATCTAAAATCAATAATATGAATTTTTGTTGATTTCATAAATGTTGAAAAACTCCTCACAGGAGCTTTAAAATAACAAGTCTAAACTTCAACATTTTGTCTAATAATTTCATTTTGAAATTGCGTATTTAACCACAAAACTGTGACTGAAATCTCAGAGACCTGAATTAATTTTTAATTTCAAGATAATATTTCTAATTTAAAACATATTTCAACAAATAACGTCATAGGATGTATTTTAATTTAGAGTAATTTTAACTTTTCAGAAGAGACAAAAATCAAATTTAAGATTTCCTTTCATAACTGACTTATTTTCATAAAACTGTATTTCTATAAATTAAACATGTTTGCATATTTATTTATAAAGCTACAGCTGTATATTCAGATTGTTACATCCGACCCCAGTCTCCCCTACTTTTTACTTAAACTCAGTTTTTCATGTGACCCTCAATCAGTAGGTTTTGACACCTGTTTGGTCACAGCGGTGAGTTATTTCTGTATTTATGAAAAACTGAGATTAATGCCGATAAATTATTTATTTACACGCTGAAAATGAGAATCCAGACATCTCCTGTTTGCCTGTCGGTCTTCAGTCTGACATACAGAGGGGTCAAAGTTCAGCTGATCCAGGTCTGAGTTTCGGCTCGTGCTGCAGACTCAAAAAAAAAATGGATTCAGAGTTTTTCTGTTTCTGTTTTTTTTCTCTTTGGTCTTCTCGGGTTTCAGGGTCTTTCTCGACCTGTCGAGCGACTCCAGCTCCACATAAATCACACTTTACTTTATAAAGGCTCCGCTCTCTGAAGTCCGGCCCATCACACACTCTCACACACACACACGTACACACACACACACCGATGGAAATGCATCTGTAATGTAGGAACGATTTGTGCAGTGTGAAGCTCGGTTGGATGCCTTAATCTCTTCAGTCTCAATCTTCTCGTTTTTCTCCGTCAGAGTCGGCCGCACATTTCTCCTCTCCTCCAGAAATCCCCCTCCTCCTCCTCTTCTCCTCCTCCTCCTCCTCTGGAGTTTCTCTGACAGTAATGATTATTATTCTTATTTAAAGTGAAGCAGCGAGAAGGATCAAGTGGAAATGTTGGAGGATAAGCATCTTCAGATCAGCTCACACCATCTTTAGTTGCAGAGTCGATAATAATTCACTCCAAAAATGAACCGGTTCAGGATCCGATCAGGGAGAGAAGCGGGATTTTAGAACTGGGTGAAATTATAAATACAGTGACATACAGATATTCTCCTCCTGGCTCTTTCTGAAGTTAATCATCAGCAGCAGCTCTTCACCTGGTTCTCATTGGTGATGCATGAACGTGTTAGCGGCGTTTTAATCAGGTCAAGGTGAAGCTCGTTATTTTATCCCTTTAATCGTCTCTCAGTCTGACAGAAACACTCACGTCTACCTGGACACAGACTGAGATCGTCTCTCAGGAATCAGAACTGCTGTAATTAAATATCCCATCAGAATAATTAAACTGTTTTTAATCTGATTTCATGATGTCTGAATAAATAAAACTACAAACTGCTCTGCACAAACACTTTTCTTTGACGTCTGATTTTATTTTTTAATGTTGTGTCTTTTTAATAAACAGAAAAATGTGTTAAAGGACTGAGTGTATATATTAAACTATTCTGTAAACTTCTTTTAATGAGTCGATTAGTTTGATTATTCATTATAATGATGCACCTCTCCGTCTTTAGCCCGCTCTGTCTTCTCCAAATTCTCTGGATTCATTTATAGCAGATTAAAAAAATACTGTCCAGCTCCTGCAGCTCGACACCGTCTCTTTTTCTCCGACGCCTAAACGGACACAGCTCGAGTTTATCCAACAAAGATGTCTCAGAGCAGAGCGAGCGAGCGCGCACGTGTGCGAAGATAAATACGGATTAAAATGAAGAAAGATGAAGAAGGACTTCAGACTTGGATCAAATACTGAAGATGAATCTGTAACGATATTTTCTGCAAACTCTCACATCCCTTTTGTTGTATTAAAAATCACTTTGTGGAAAACAGGATTTAAAAAAACAAATTTAAGAGTTTTTATGACTCAAAAATATGAAATTTTATATAATTTTTGCAGAGAAAATGGAAATCTGTGCAGCCAGGTGGGAACAAACGAAGCTGCTGCAAATTCTCTAAATGCCACATGAAGTAAAACGTCTACATGAATAATCTCATATTTCTATATTTTTATGACAGTAAAAGTTGGTTTAAAAGAATTAAAATATTCAGAACGAGCAAAAATAAAAACTTTTATAACTTTAAATTTACAAACTCTAATTTAAGACTTTTAGAGAGTTTTTAAAGATCTGTGTGAACCCTGACAAAAACACTTTTATTCATATTTTTAAATCATGTTTCTGTAAAGTCAAACTGAGATAACGTCGCCTCACAAAGATAAGATTGAGATAGAAAATGAACGTGACTCTGAAGTCAAACAGTGAAAACGTTGAAGTGAAAATTCAGAGTTTGAGTGAAAGTTTTACCTCAAGTGGAAAAGTCTGAGCCGGGTCGTTTTGTGTAATCATGGTTATAATTCGAGGGGGGGGGCTGACTCTGCGCTGTGGGACTTCAAACATTGACCTTGGCGTTTCAGCGGGGACACGGAGGACGGCGGTCACTCTCCCTCTCTGAGCTTCTACCTCCCGACTAATTAAAAAAGCTGTTTTTACGAGCCTCTCCTTCAGACGGCCAGATGTGACCGGAGCGCTGTAAAATCTCAAAGTGCTTTACAGAAACACTTACTGCACTTTAAAAAAGAGAGAGAGAGAGAGAGAGAGAGAGAGAGAGAGAGAGAGAGAGAGAGACGAGGGTCCCGGTGAGCTCTCCTGCACGTGGAAATTCCTGCTCCAGTCCTGCAGAGAGCTCGGCGCTGAAACGACACACAGAAGGACAGACGGCGAGAGAGAGAGAGAGAGGAGGAAGTTTCTGTTTGACAGTTTATTTTAGTAAAATACTGCAGATGTAAATATCACCCCTTTAAATATACTCCCCTTTAAATAACTCTTTACAATCATTAAACACTTACAGACTTCCATCAGGCCCACAGATATAAGAAAAGTGACCTCAGATTATTGTTGTAGATGATCTTCAACACGGAGCTCCATGTGTAGCTGAAACAGCGTCTGAACACACATCATATCGTCTTACCGTGGAGGAGGCCCGCCGCTCCGCTCCTCGCCGCGCCGCACTGACAACAGCAGAATTAGCTTTGTGAAACACGAGCCCAGCGCCGGCTAACGTGTTCATCTACAACACATGAGACAGCGGGGTTTATGAGCTGGATGGAGATGGATTCATGCTTCGCTGCGCTCCGGGAAGTAAACAGGACCCGTCTTTTTGTTTGTGGTCAGACGACGAGGAGGAGGAAGAGGAAGAAGAGTCGGTGTTTGAGTTTCTGCTCAGAGAGAAAATCTCATGATTCAAAAACACAGAAAACACCAGCGAGAAAAGAGAGGTACACACAGGGGCCCGAGCTGAGGGACGGGGGCCCGAGCCGGACGCAAGATTCACAGCGAGAGCAGGCGAGGAAATCTACCAGACAGGACTCATGAACCGTTCTGTAAAATATCTAAACATCCAGACGAAGAAGAAAAACGACTGTAAACATCTGAATTCACCGCAAACTTGTGACACTTAGAGTTTGGACGCTTGGTGAAAAAGAGAGAGAGAGACCCCGTCCCCGAACTATAGACTGTCTGAAGGACATGAAACAGATGATTCTTAAATCACCAAAATAAAGACGAGAGTCTAAGAGATCCTGTATTTTAGTGTTTTTATCTTTGTGTTGATGTTTCTGAACAAACTTTGTCCGTGTTTCTTTACAGACGTTTGTTTTGGTAAACACTGAAGTCAAAGGGGATGGGATGTTCTTTCTCAAGGTCCGATTTGCCAAAACCACAATCTTTTCCGAATCTTTGGGGCCACAAATTTAGGGGGGAATTCCGGGACTTTTTCTCCTGAGCGCGCTCGGAAATATTCGGGATGATTCGTGCAAAAAAGGTTTTGTGATAGCTGTAGATGAGTGGGCGCCTCGGCCGGAAGGAGCTGTAATGGCTGCAACTCAGCGTACGGCGTGACTTTAGCGTTTGAATTAAGACGTATCACAGAAAACAGGAGCGCGGCTGCAGCAGGAGAGCAGAGATGGTCGCGCTCTGAGAGATAAAAGTCGATTTTTCTGAGCGTCTGTTTCTGGTTTGAAGAAAAGCTCCGTCTCTGCAGGGATCCTCTCTCTAATGTTGTCAGACACTCGGAGTCTGTCAGCGATGAAATCAGAAACTACAGTCGACATCATGTGATCAGACACACGTTAACGAGTTTGTGCTGCTGCTGTTTGAAGATGTTTATCTGCTGAAGTGATGGAGAGGAGCTGATCCTGGATCAGTAAAGTCAGGATTCAGCGGTTTAAGGGGGTCTCTGAGGGTTCTCTGAGGTCCAACATGAACATTAGTGTTTGGTTTGGATCCTCCAGCCTCACATGTCTGATGATGATGATGATGTTCAGATACGGTCAGAGCAGCTGATGAATGAGTGAGTGAGTGTTTGTCCCTCCTGACCATCAGGATGTGATCACCTCTGAACTCTGAACACAGTTCTCTGGACTTTCACAGTCCTGCTCCGTCTTTGTCGGTTCAGTCGTCGGTTCATCCTCTCCTCCCTTCTTCTCCTCCTTCTTCACAGTCTCTTCCTCCATCACCTCACATTCTTTGGTTGATTGCACTGTTCCCTCCTGATTATCTACTGACCCGTTACCCTGTTTCTCCTCCTTCTCCTCCTCCTTCTCCTCCTCTTTCTCCTTCTGCCTCTCCAGCTCCTCCTCGGTGGCCTGAAGCTGCAGCTGCTGCATCAGCTCCTCCAGCTTGTGGGCTTTCCTCAGCTCGTTCTGCTGGATGATGGCGCAGAGATGCTCCGTCAGCTGCTCCTTCACCTCCGTCTTCTTGTGCAGGTCCAGTTTGGCCGTCACGTACTCGGCCTCCGCCCTCTCGTACCGCTTCCTGAGAGAAAAAACAACATGAAGATGGACGGAGACAAAATTAGACGAGTGCAGAAAATCTCAGAGTTAAAGTGGATTAAATTTAAGGTTTTATCCTTTTGATAAAACAAACAGAGTCCTCACCTTCAGAACACAAGTCTGAGTTTAAACCAGAAAACTGGATTCATGTAAGAGAGTAAGAGTGACTGTGGAAATTATCATTTTAATTAATTAAAAATAAACTTTTAACAAGTTTAAGTATCCTGACATGATCAGGATCTTTCCTTGTTTTTGATGATTTTTCTTGTGATCGATTCCCTCTGATAGAGCTCTCACTGTTTCATTAAAGACTTTTTTAATTTCATTTAAAATCCCTTAAAAAAATCCTAAAACCATTTATGAAAGAAAACACATGAAGCATACAGAGAAAAGGCGAGAAACTGGGTTAAATATGATTAAATAAACCAAACGTATTTTTAATTGCTAATAATCAATCACTTATTTATTTGTTTCTTTATTACAAGGAAATATTTGATCACTTTGGTGACATCTCAGGGTTTTTTTTCATCGTTTTGCAGACTCTCAGAGGGGGCCGCCACGTCAGTTTTTGACAAAGTTTATTGATAATAAAAATAAGAAACAAAAAAGACAAATTGGAGTGAATTCTATAAAATGAATGTAATTTCGGCTCAGTAAAATCGCCACATGGGCTTTTAGGATTTCTGAAACTGTAGAGAAAAACAAAAATACAGAGAAAATATTTGGATTAAAATTTAAAAAAGAAGGAAGTTCATGTTTAGATCTGATCTGATGTGATCTGTGATGAAGGAAATAAACGATCAAATCGACCTGAGCTCAGCGGACACCACAGAGCGTCTGTATGAGAGTTTATTTTTTATTAACACAAAGGATTCTTCAAAATAAAAAACTCTTTTTATTATCTTTATTTATCTTTATCATTATTATTTTATTAGACCTGGACATTTGGGATTCATTTGATCCTGCAAATAAAAAAAATAAAAAAAATAAAAAAAATACTTCTTCTATCCGACCATCCGGTCTACATCACCTTGTGCAAAACTACAGAACTGTAAAAACACTGTCTGTATTAATAAATACACTAAACTATATCAGACTTAGTCCAAGATTTGACTTTGTTAAAATGACAAATAAATAAATGAGTCAATATAAAAATAATCTGATTCAATAAAACAACAGGAATAACGAACACACTGTGGACAAAGATCTCACCGCTGAGAGTTTTTAGACTTTTTTAATCAGAGTTAAACTTCACAGACTGTTAAACTCAAGATATTTCTGAATGTTGAACTGTTGGAGTCGTGTGTCTCTGAGAGAAAAGAGGAAAAACTTTTTTCTGTTAGGAAGGACGGCCCGATCAGAATAAGACTCTCCACATTGGAGGATTTGAAAACTGGTGATTTAGTGAGAGAGACGACGACAGTGAAGCGATCTGAGACCCAGAGAGGACAGGTGAAGGTGAACGTCTGCTCTGATTTCATCTGGTGAGAAAGTTTTCAGTCACTCGTAGAAACAGACGAATCTCTCAACAAAAGCAGGTTCAGACTTCTTCTTCTTCTACTTCTTTAAATGTCGGCGTATTCTCCTTATATAACCGATGTAATGGATGAAGACAGGAGAGCAAATGTTGAGACAAGCCAAAATAAATCCTGACCCTTAAAAAGTAATCCTGACCGAACTCTCCAGCCTTCAAATGTTGGTGATTTTACACGAGTTACAGCTCACAGACTTCGTAACCCGAACCTGATCTGGTAGAAAAACACGAACCATTGAAACCTTGAATCCCAGAGTTCCCTGACGGGGGTAAATACTGCTCTCCCCCTTTTCTGTCCGAACACAGAGATCTTGTTTTTAAACGTGAACAACAGAACATCAGATCCTGTTTGGGAACGGCGCCGTAACCAAACACATGATGTCAAACACTTTCTCTTCAGGGTTGGAGCTCAGCTAAATCCCAACCATCGATTTAATCAACGTAATCATAACAGAGTCCGGAGTGAGGGGTGTGTGAAGGTCAGCTCCTCTTCCCGTTATACAAACATCTCTAATGAGAGCTCAGGACTCAGACAGAGAGACAGAGAGGGAGAGGACAACAATGAGGTCTCACAGATTTACTGAACAAACAAAACTACAGTCTGCAGCTCCGAACTTTGACTTCAGTGTCAGAATGAGAAAATACTTTGTGTTTTTGAAACTCAGAGTTTGAGATGAAAGTTCATTTGTCTTTGGGTTTCAGGTCTGGGTGTTTGGAGGTTCATGTTGGGGGTCCTGATGGCATGAATACTGGAAACAAGCTGCAGGGGGCAGCATTTACAGTGGCTGTACAGTCGATTACCTGCACACCTCAGATTATTTTAAACACAGAGACGTTTCCTGCAGGAATCTGATCATGTTTCTAAAACCTTTAGGTCCAAACTCAGACCAGTGAAGCTCTGTAGTTTTATTCTGATGGACTTTCACTCAAATTAGTCTAAATTTCCTTTTAAATAGTCTTTCTGTGTCCTTTCTCCTCCTGACTGAATTAAAAACAGCTCTGCAAGCAAAATGAAGACACACTTCTGCACCTGCTGAGATTATCTGAGGTAGGAATATTCTTAACATCTGACAACACAGATACAGATGAATGAAAACTGCTGAAAATCAGGAGATTTGTAGGAAAAACTAAGTTTTAGAAATGTGACAAAAGACAAACGTATGAAAACACGCAGAGCTCAGAAAAAGGCCGGCAATCTTTTTAAAACGCACAAACACGAAAGCTTAAATGTGTCACAATACGACACTGTATCCTCAGCTCTGTCTGTCTGCTAACGATCAATATCTGGTTTCATGAAGTTGGATGTTGGTCTGAGTTTCTTTGATGAGGTTCAATTTTAGGCTTTTTCAGAACATCAGCTGGAGGAACCTGCCTCACCCTAACCTCTTCTCAGGACACCACAGCTTGAACTTCTAAGTACACGCATCTATAATCCTCCAAACCTCTTTATTTGTTTGAATATATCAGCAAACACCTGCAGCTGCCATCTTTCCTCCTCTGTGAACCAGCTCACACGTTAAATGATGCTCTCCTGGTCAGAACCTCTCTGAGAGTCCCAGACCTGTTTGGTCTGGAGGCTCATTTATGATTACACTCATGCGGCGCTGCTTCATTTACAAACACTGACCGTTTTTCCCTGAGTGTGGCTCTTGTACCTGGCAGAAGAGTATTCCCAGCTGGCCTCCTCGATCCTGCTCCTCAGGATGCCGATATCGTTGGACACCATGTCATCCAGCGCCTGGAGCTCCTTCTGGATTCTCTTCAGCTTCACGGCCTCCGCCTGAGTCTGTTTGGACCTGCAGATGAGGAGATCAACTCTTAGATAATCTCTTTTTGACCCCCGTTTGTCACGGTCACAGAGGTCATCAGACAGTCACACTTACTTCTCAGCGATGGTTTTGGCCAGCAGAGCCTTTTTGCGTCTGTTCCTCTCTTCGATCATTTTCTGCTCCTGCTGCAGTTGTTCCAATCGTGTCTTCTCACGTCTGAAAACAAACGTAGAGGAAATTTTATTACATTAAAAAAAAGAGCTAAGCAAAACCAACAAGGGCTGGATCCATGCTGAGGTTAGAGTTCAGGGCAGCACACGATTGTTTAAGTTTTTACAAACACTAGAGATCCTGATTTACTCGGCTTAGTTTGGTGTGTTTCTGACAGTTCAGCTGTTTAATTAGTGACTTCAAAGTTCGTTCAAATCTGATATTTGTTCAAAGTACACGAGTGACTTTTGGAGCTCAGGAACAAGAACAAAACAGTGAATATGAGCAGATGAAAGTGTATTTGAACAGAGACACCTGTACTTTTCATTTGGAAACAGTAAAGCAGCTTTTATAGTTTATAGAGGATAATAACAGTGAGAATCTTCTCAACAGAGTATAAGGTGGAAAATAGATGAACAAACAGGTGTGGAAATCATCATCATGATTTGGATTTGAGGCCATAATTATTCAGTGATTCACTGAAGAACCTTTGAGATACTTTCAGGTGAATCACAAACATATTTAGTGACGTCTTACCTTCACCTGGAGACCAGGTAAAAGGCTGACAGGTGACCTTTAATTCTTTTATTTGCTAAGAGAGAGCAGATCAGTGTTTGTATGAAGAGTACACAGCTATCATTAATTAAACTGGAATAACCCGTTTACTTTCAGGATTCAGATATTCACATATTTATATTTTCTCCCTGTTTTGTTTTCTTTTCTCTTTTATTTATCCTGCTGTTTTTACTCTGTAAAGTGTCCTTGAGTGTCCAGAAAGGTGTTTATAAATAAATGTGTCATTATTATTATTATTATTAAACACACATCAAAGGTTTAGAGTTTAGGTTTGACTCTTTACTTTTCTGAAAATACTTGAACTTTTGTGTTTGTAAAAAACCATCATCACACTTACAGAGCCACCTCCTGGGTCTCCAGCTCTTTGATGGTGGGGGTCTCCTCCTTCTCCTCCTCTTCAGCAGGAGGAGGTCGGTGGGTTTCTGTCTTCTTCACCTCCTCTAGTTTCATCTCCTCTTTAACAGCAGGAGTCAAACCCGGAGCTGCAGGCCGGGTCTCTTCCTTCGGCGGCGGTTTGAGGAGCTGCTGCTCCGGTGGGAGTCCAGGAGGAGGTCCGGATCCTGCGTTCCTCTGAGCGGTGAGCTGAAGGACCTTCTCCCGCTGAAGCTGCTGCCTGCTGCGGTGAGCTGGAGCCGGCTTCCTCCCGCGGACAGCCGCTGGGTCTGGAAATACATGAAGACAAGCTTAAAGACGGATATTTACACTATCAGAGCCTTAAAGTGAGTGTGGAGTTAGATTAAAGAAGATGTCAGTGAAGCTGAAACAGGAGAAACGTTCACTCTGACCTCCTTTCTGCTGAATTTTCCGGAGCTCTTCTTCAGAAAAACCCGCCCAGCCGCTCATTTTACACCTTTAACCGAACTGCGCTCCAAGGAAGACAAATAAACCATGTAAACATAGAATAATATCACTATAAAGCAGCAGTAATCATTCTTTAAAGTGCTAAAGAGGAAGACAAACTTCAACGAGCTCTCAACGACACCGCCATGTTTGTTTTGAAGTTGCCACGTCAAGGACCCCAGAAAGACCGGTGAGGTAGACGGCTCAGATACTGCCTGACTAAAAAAACACAAATACTAAAATGAAATTAACGTCTAACCCTATTTAAGTCTCTTTTTCATTAAGATGTTGTATATTACAAAAGTCTTTGTAATGCATTTTTTATAATAATGAGATAATTGTAATGTAAATCGTGAAAAACCCTATGGGAGACGGGAGACAGTCCCCTCACCTAACCCTAACCCTTACATCCGGGACACAATTTTTTTTTTGTAGGATGATTGGCTAGAAGTGCTGGGCTACGATCGGTTATTCTTAATGGCTGTGAAACATCATCGTCTGTCGGGTTAAGGTTAGGAAAAAAACGCTCCCGGCGGTGTTTAAGGACCTCAACCTTTACACAACGGGAGCATTTTTTTTTGTGTGATTATTTCGGACGTCAATATTTTTTTTTGAACCCGTATCCTGTCAATACAAGTGTTCACAACAGCGATGGTTTCCTGTCCTGCGTTATTGCGGCATTTACTTTTTCGTTTCACGGTCGATTTTTCCAAAGTTTGGCATACTGTGTGTCCACTTGTGACCAAAGCAAAATCAGAGGCGGAAACAAGATGGCCACATCTACGAAAGTTACTTTAGCACTCGCCTTGTCCGAATATACGGCAAGCGCTAAAAAAACTTTCGTAGATGTAGCCATCTTGTTTCCATCTCCGATTTTGCTTTTTTCCGACTTGGTAACTGAAACGATGGTAACTCGGGTGTGACGTCATTTTCAGTTCCGACATCTGACTTCCGAGGAAACTCGAACGTAGTATTATTGTTAGCTTTAATTGGGCTGATGGAGTTTACGGAAATCATCAAATTAATATTCCCCAAAATAAATGTGTTTTTAGTTTTAATAATAATAATAATAATAATAATAATAATAACAATAATAATATTTTTTTCGCTGGTTTGAAGTTCTTGTATTAAAGTCGGGGCTGTATCGTGTCAACATACTTGATTGATTTAAAACAGAAAAATGAGTGAGTGTTACCTAATCTGAAATATTTAAATGAACAATGCTCTGTAGATAACTCAGGTCGGTCTGAATCAGTCCAGATCATGATGTTGCTACTTGCTCCCTCAGTTCCTCATACTGACCTTTTCTCTCTGAGTATCAGCCTGGGGGTCAAAGAGGTCAAAGGTTAATTAAAGAGCTGCTTCATGTGAAAGCGGCATGAAATTTTAGTGGCTGAGCCGTAAAGAGGAGGGTCAGGAACACCGTATGTAAACGTGTTGAGTCTCTAAAATCGTCTCGACCTTCCATCAGAGTTTCCCAGCTCCTGCAGAACCGTAACGTTTCTTCTTCCTGTTATGTCATGTGCTTTTTTTAGCGAGTATCGCCTTTTAACTCACACAAATTGACAGCAGGCGTATCATGTCTGTTGAATCAGTCATGGCGGTGGAGGATATTTGTGGACTTTTTGGAGACTCGTTGGAGTCTATATGATTTGTGTTTTATTGCTTTCTTTGCCGGTGTCACTGACAGGCACCATCACATACTCAGCTCTGTACTCCATCACTTATGTCAGGCTCTGCTCGGACTCCTTATTTCCCTCGGTAATTGGTCAAGGTAAAGACATAAAGCGTGTCTTTTTAACCTTGGCAGTGCCGAGGAGCCGGGCGGTGCAAAAACAATGACCTCTGCTTGGCAACTAATAAAAACTGGCCCCCACATCTTTCTTGCATCTGGGGGCCAATTATGTGCAAGTTAAAAGGCGAAACACCTCAGGAGGGCATAAATCGCCGGCGGAGTGGAGACAGGGCCAGGCATGGAGGCCAGATGGCACAGAGACAACCGCTCTGGGTTCAGAGCGTGTTCAGCTGCCCCGGCGTCGGGCCGAGGATGGGACGGCCTTGGATCCCTGATTAGAGAGAGCCAGAGGGGACCACATGGCTCATTACTGACATGACCTGTGGAGGCACATCAGGGTTCGAGGAGGGGGGGGAGTCTGTAGACCCTCTGGAGGAATGGGAGGGACTGATCGGACAGAGGGAGGTAACCTTGTTGACTGCTCGCAGTTCAGAAGTTCATCATGCCGGATCTGAGTCCACATGTGTCCATGCAGGTCGTCTGAGAACCAGAGAAAGTCCATCCATGGTTTTAAGCTGAGAAACCCCGACAGCGAAAAAGATGGAAGGATGTGAATGAAAACAAAATGAGAGGGTTTGTGGATCGTCTAAAGTCCATGTTGAGCTGAAAATGGTGCAAATACAACAAATCAAATTTTAAAACTGAAAAATCTGATTGTTTTATGAAAAATATGAGCTCAGTATAACCCCCTATTTTCACCACATCCGCATCCGGAACGGCTCCAATCAGGGATGGTGACTAATTCCTACTGTATCGGTTTGTGAGGAAAATTTCGTGGTGGATTATGGACAGCAGGAATCACAAGAACTCACAAGAACCCGCAGATTCACGTTCAATCGTGCGACAACGAATTGTCTCTCTAAAGACAGACACATAGACATATAAGCAGTAGATTGTGTCCTTCCAGAGGAGGAAATCTACTTCTAGACTTCTAGAATCAGCATCTCCTCATCCATGGTGTCATCGGGGTGAAATGACGTCTAAAAACCTTTCACTTGTTCGTCTCCGCCCGTTTGCATGGTGTGAAATACGATCCTCCTGAAACACGGAGTGTTTTATTTTGAAAAGAAGCCGGATGTTTTATTTTGTGTCTGTGCCCGACTTCCTTTCCAGCACGGGTTAATCTGTGCTGAATTTATCCGCCATGCTCCGGCGTCCAGAAAAAATAGAACTCTTACGATCGTTTCTCAAGTCCGGCGATCTGCAGTGAAATTGAAAGAAGTCGGTGTAAATTGACACGTTAACTTGAATGGTTACGATCAGCTACGATCGGAGGATATGACCTTTTAGTAGCTGTTCTGGATGCGGTGAAAATTGGGGGTAAATCTGATTCCAGCAGTAAGATTAAAAACACGTCAGGGTTGGAGGAAGTTGAACTCTGAGCTGCATCAACTCTGAACACTCTGGACCGAGACGGGAAAGTGTTTCACTGAGTCATTTTCACACGGATTTATATGATCGCATTATGACCGGGTTCATCATCATAACGACTTGGTAAGGTTAAGAAAAGATCATGATGTGGGTTTAAAATGATTTCATAATGTCTGCGAGGCTAAAGCCTGTAAAACCACAGCTATGCTGGTAAAACTGTGGGCTGGAGAGAGGGTCAGGGTAGATTGTGTTCATGTGAGACATCCAAGAATGAAAAGTTCAGATTGTTTTAACTCAAATTTAAATTTAAAACGCCATAATTAACTTTAATTAAATTAACTAACACTCTCACCTGTGACGGCTGATGATCACCAGCAGAAATGATGAAGATAAGAGGTGAATTATTGAACACATGTAGAGAGCGTGCTCATCACCTCCGCCCTCCTCGAGATCCACAAAGACACGGCCAGTGAAATCTGAACAGCCAATCAGAGGAGACGTGTGTCAGCGAGTCAGAGCCTGAAATCAGGGATGATGGGGGGGGGGGGCCTCTGTGCCTGACTCACGCTGACCTCTCGGCCTTCTTCTTCCGTCCCATTTAGACCTCCTCTTCCTCCTCCTCCTCCTCTTCTCCCCGAACGCTGCTGCTCTGAATTTGTTCTTTAATTTCCATCCCTGACCTTTCATCCCGCCATCTGCAGCCAGTTTGCAGCTTTAAACAGCGTCCTGACATCACGCACGCCGTTTCCTTTTATCTCTCTTCCTCTGCACCTTCAGTGTCGTCTCTCAATTTCCCCCCAATTAACTGACGCTGCATGTTTCTGTTTTAGCTTTAGCCTCTCAGCTCAGATTGGATGTTTTTGAGCTTTTAAAACACTGAAGTTAAAACACAAACAAACCAACACAGATCTGTCAGAGCGTGATCCTACAAACCTCTGAATATTAGAGCTGCTGCAGAGTCATTTTGAGAGACTGGAGATAAACTCAGGATCCAGTTCTTAAAAAAACCAAACATGAGCGAAATATTGTTCTTCTGGTTGTTAGCTGACTGTGCATGGAGGCTGCCATCTTTGTTTTAAGTTGTTGACCAATCACAGGCTGTATTTGCCGTTACAGTCCTGTGAGAGGCCAGTGTAGCCTGACCCCCAATCTCCACCTTCATCCTGATCGTCTCCTAAAAGGTCGTATCCTCCGATCGTAGCTGATCGTAACCATTCAAGTTAACGTGTCAATTTACACCGACTTCTTTCCGTTCCTCTGCGGATCGCCGGACTCCTCAGCTGATCACAAGAGTTCTATTTTTTCTGGACGCCGGAGCATGGCGGATAAATTCAGCACAGATTAACCCGTGCTGGAAAGGAAGTCGGGCACAGACACAAAATAAAACATCCAAGCGAAAGGTTTTTAGACGTCATTTCACCCCGATGACACCATGGATGAGGAGATGCTGATTCTAGAAGTCTAGAAGTAGATTTCCTCCTCTGGAAGGACACAATCTACTGCTTATATGTCTATGTGTCTGTCTCTAGAGAGACAACTCGTTATTTCGTGAATCCTCGGGTTCTTGTGAGTTCTCGCAATTACCGCTGTCCGTAATCCGCCACGAAATTTGCCTCACAAACGGATCCGGTAGGAATTGGCGGACGGCAAAAATCGCCGCCGTTCCAGATCACAGCCTTTCCGGATGCGTTGGAAATTCAGGGTCAGAGGAGAAGCAGAAACCTAATCTAGAAGGTTCTTTGGTTTTTGTCCTTTTACCGGTTTGTCTCCAGAGCTGCAGCCTCGACAGTTATAGTCCAGCAGAGTCCCGCTGTCAGTTTGTGTTGATGTGAAAAATATAACGACCAGATAAGAGCAGAGGACAAAAGGACACGAGGTAAGGAGGACCGGCCCGAGGCTCGCCGATCTCAAACTAAATACAAATGTGAACTTCCTGTCCGCTGGTTTTCCTCTGGAGCCTCAAATCAGCTCCAAATCGACTGTTTAATAAAAAGTGAAGAGAAGTGTGAAACTTCTGAAGGTCCACGCTGTTTTTAAAATGAAGCATGATCAGAAACTTTTCACATCTAATGACATGAATGCAGAAATTAAAGCTGCATCAGTGACTCTGAGCGATGGTTGTATTGTACGTTTACACCACTGTGTTAGAGTTTGAATAAATACCAATCCGCCCACGTCACGTATCGAACACGAGTTACAAAACTGGAGTGATTACGTAACTCAAAGAGAGGTTGTCTAAAAACAACCATAACACACTCCTTTGGCTTTGCGTGTCGATTAAACCCCCAAACTTCCCAAGAAGACTGGATCTGTTCATGCGATGGCACAACAAATAAAAGATAATGAGGTCAGGATCATCCAGAGGAGGTGGAGGCCGGGCTGTGCTGAAATAAACGGTCCTGAAAGTCCTCTGAGAAATCAGATTAATGAAACGGACCGGGGGCTGAAGACACTTGTTGGTTCCAGCAGGTTACTGGCGAAAGACTGACGTGTTTTTTTCGGGCTGACCCTGCATGAACCTGACGAACCAGAGTCAGAAAGTTTGGGACTTTTCATTGTGATGACAACTGATTCATTAGACCTCGAGCCGTGCCCAGAAACCCCCATAAAAAGCCCTCGATCGGAGTCTGTTTGAGCTCATTAGGAGGGAAATGTGGTCTCTCACAGCACAGCTCAAATAAAGATGCAGATGTCTCCAGCATGGCCTCCAACAATTTGGCTGCCGAATCAGATTCTTAATCAAATTATTTTTAGCTATGGCACATTTAATCCGCTGTTGTTTTATTCATTAGCCGTTCCACGAATTTATTGTGGCTCTGGCGGCCTCGCTGTCTCTCATCTCGGCCGTTTCCCAGAGTGTAACACACACACATCTGGTCCCAATCATGGGGGGAAGAAAAAAACGAAGAAGCGGGGGGAGAGAAAATGCCTATTAGCAGTTTCTGGCAAAGGTTCGCCGTGAACAGCGGTGCCCCATCTCCCCTGGAGTTTCTGGTAGTCTTGCGCTGTATACAAGCTCTCTGTCAGCTCGTTCGCCACACCCTCATTACCTGATTTCATAACAACACACACAGGAGCCGAGCGGCGTTCGGGGGATTTCAGGCTGTGCTGGAGGTAAAGAGCGCCCACTGAGAGAGCAGTATAGATTTACGCACCGCCACGCCACGCCACGCTGCAGCTGAGTTCCTCTCATGAAGTCCAAGTCGGTGTCTGTTTGCGGAGCGCTCATTGTTCCAACAGAAAGCTGCGATAATCACTCTAATTTATGACCTCCCCTCGTTAGGCCTTTTTACGCTCTTCATAAACAATTACATTAAACTGATTGGATTATTTTGAAATTCGCAGCTTATTAGCGTCTCGGGCTGGGAGATGTAAAACATCACGAATGTGGGCTGGAGCTGGAGGTCAGATCCACGACTAGAAAGCATTCCTGTAAACCGGCTTGAATTCAGAGTAGCAGCCCGTTGGTCGAAGATGTGAGCTGTTGTTTTGTCTTAGAAACATCTGTGCTGATTTGAAAGTGTCTGAACTTGTTTGGGTTTCATGCACAGAGGATCAGCAGGCGGGAATACTTCTGAATAAGAAATAAGAAACACGACGAGTCCAATCAGAACGTTTTTATGTTCGTGAACTTTCAACCCCCGTTAGACCGATGTGACCAAAACCGAAACACGAGGAGTGGTCGAAATGTTCTGTACGTTCAGAAATATTCACATTTATGACATGTTTTCACCTCCTCAGAAAGACTCATTTTCCCCTCACATACCGCCATCGTCCGCTCTTCCAAAAACCGAACCAAAGAATGAAAAATGACCCTGATTATGAGAATGTCATCACCTTTTAAAAACGCTGTCCCCGCTTCACCACAAATATCTCCATCTCACTTTTTCCTCTCAGTGTTCGACTTCTTCACGCTCGGTTTCCTGAAATAGTTTCATCCAAATATTTCCAAACGTTCAAGACACTTTTTTTAAAAGAAGTCTTTACTCCACAAAATGTCCAGATTCTCTCCCTTTAAGTCTCCAAATCTAAACAGACTTAAACACCATCACCACTTTTTATAAACAAATTTTAAAGTGTTTTAATTCAACTGTAATACACTAAAAGATCAGGGCAACAACTGAGCAACATAAACTTTAAATCTGAGAATAAAGTCACCAGTTCATTCATGGAAATAAAGTCGTACATTCAGAAGAGTTTATGGAATAATTGACCAGAAACGTTCAAATTTAAGTTAAGAGTGAACTTGTAAATTTATTAAATTTCAAAGTTCTTGTAATATGTAATACGACTTCTATCTCTTTTTCAGTCTTATTATTATAGAAATTATTCCCTAACTTTACAAGAATCAGTAAATTCATGAATATCCCTGAGAAAAGGCGAACATTTATGAAAAAGGAATAAATAATTAGTTTATTTCTTCAAATTCAGTTTTAAGTTTAGGCCTAAAATGAGAGAGAGAAAAAAGTCATAAATTTAGATTTTTTTTGTTTTGTTTTGTAAAGTTCCAACATTACAAGAAGAATGTTAATTTAAGAGGAAAAGATGTAATTATGAGTTCATCATAAAGTTGTACATTTGCAATTTTTCCTTTTTAAGTTTGTGACGTTATGAGAAAAAAGATTTAAATTTAAATGAAAAAGTTATAAATTTGTGAAAAAGGTGAATATTAATGAGTTAAAAAAGTTAAAATCTATGAAAAGTGAAATTAATTAACAAAACGAGTAAAACTGGGGCTGTAAATTTAAGAAGAAAAGTTATAATCTAGTTTATGAAAAAGACATTTTTGAAAAGTTTTTTTTTAAATTTAT